TTTGTGAATGTCTGGATATTTTATTTTTACAAATTGGATTTATAAATCCAAAGATATTCAATTTTTAGCATTTTAATATTCAAAGGAAAATAAAATTTATTTCCAATTAACGAAAAAGCATTTTTATTAATTTATAAATCACTAAACTCATGGGGGCCCACAAAGAGCTATGGGCCCACCATATTATAACACATGGGAGAATTGAGTGGGGCCCACATAAGGCCACCCAGGGTGGCACACGCCACTTAAGGAAACTTTGGTTACCAAATTTGGTTCAAGCCATCTAGGCTAGGTAATCAAGTTAATGTGATTTAGAAAGTTTTGTGATTTGAAGTTTTTACTATTCAAAGATGGAATGAATAAGAGAGATTATTCATAAAATAAGAAAGTATGATATTATTTTCTATATGGCAATATTTGATGAGATTAGGTTTAGGAAGCTGGAGGATAAAGTTCTAACACCTTTCTTTGAATCATGATGGTTAATCTAAGGATTGGATGACTCAGATCTCTCACTCCACAAGTCTCCTATGATCAATTGTCGAGATTAAATCTACATAAGGATGGCAAAGCCTAAGGAAACCTGTTACACCCCAAGATTTATAACACTGGAATCCCTGAGATGTAACAGTCTATCTTTAACAAAACAAAATTTTTCTACTTCACCATTTATTGCACTAAAATAGATTTTTCCATTTCTAAGAGTTTGTACAAAGTCTACTCATAACTAGTATTAACACGAAGGTTTAGATATACATCTATTGATAGGACAAAATTTACAATAGTGAATTTGAACAAAAGTCACAAAGAGAAAATTTCATTATAACTATGACTTCTTCCAAAATTGGTCTTGTTGTGCCTTCAACTAGGGAGGCTGCAATTACCCTGAAATTTTGTTATGATAGTTTGATGAGTTTGGCTACTCAGTAAGTGATCATCATAGTCCTCAAAAATAATCATAGTCGGAAGATGTAAGCATTTTCAAAAAGGGAGGTCTATTAGAAACAATGCGAGTCAAAAAGCATTTATGGATAACAATTTCACTTTCAGAAATGCACAATTAAACATAATTCAAATAATTGAAACGCATATAAATATTTTAACAGCAATGCATAACTCAAAGGATTTCACAAAATACGCTACTGGCGTCCCAAGTAGGTCACCTATATACCCCACCAGCGTCCTGGATGGGTCCAAACAATCCCTGTAGGTCCAAACATACCTCACCGGCGTCCCGGATGAGTCCAAATAGTCCCTACCGGCATAACCAGATAGGTCCAAACAATCCTTGCAAGTCCAAAGATACCTCACCGGAGCCCCAATGAGTCCAAATAGTCTCTAGCGGTCTAAGCGAATAGATCCAAACAATCTCTGCAGGTCCAAACGTACCTCACCGGTGTACCGGATGAGTCCAAATAGTCTCTAGCGGCGTCTCGGATAGGTCACACACATACTTAACTTATCTCAAAAACCCTTTAACATTAGAAAGCATCAACATCCTATATTCAAGGTATCATTGAAATCATTAACAGAAATTCACTTGAAGAAATTTAAACAATTACTTTCATTGAAATATTTGTAAGTAACCAATCAAACAATTTGGATAAAAATTGCAGAAAGGTAGCAGATCGAATAGGTACATTTGAAATGGAATCCAATTAGCAGTCGATCATCAATTTAAGAGCTTTTATAGAAATCCAAGGTTAAACACATAAATATCACAATTTTATGGAATGTAATTTCATAATTAATTATTTTACAGGAATAGGTAAAACTTATAGTATCTAAAATTCATAGACAAACAAAAATACAATTAAATGCAGAAATGCGTAAATCTCACATTATCGGTAGTATTATAATTAATTGCAAAAATATCAATTTTCACATAATGATTTTACCAAAAATGACATCACTTACACATAAATTTTACGGTGTCTAAAAGTAATAATAATAGGCAGAAATTTTATTTTTAATAATTTACAATGTCTAAATTTCTAATAAACAAAAATAATAATTTTAACAGAAAAAAAATGATACCATATGCGCATAAAATTACAGTATAAAATTGGCGAGCAGACTATTTTTTCAGGATAATGAGATCATTTACCTATAATAATTGAGAGTGAACTTTCGGTAAAATTCGGCTAGAGAGAAGGAGTTCATTGCGTTCTTTAATTCACAAAGAGGGCTCAGCGTTATTGAGAGGGAGGGGCGTAAGAGAGAGTGTTTTTGCAGAGAGAGAATCGAACTTGTTCTCCTTTTTTTAAACACAAAAGAAATATTATTATAATATATCATGAACCCACCTTATACATAAGTTGTTTAGAACGTGTTACATTAACACTTAAATCCCACATCCCTAGAGGATGTGGCACAAAAACAAAAGGTGAAGGTAAAAAGAGCAAAAAAACATGATGGTCCCTAGCCCATGAAAAATCTATAAATAGGGATTCCCTCTCCCCATATTTTCTACACACCTCTCTTTTCTCTCTACTCTCTCCCTATATAGGGGCACGCCCCACCTAGGTTTTTTCTCTCTCCTCTCTCATCTTGAGTTCTCTTTCTTGGTCATGTCTCTTAGTTAATAATAAAGGAAAGGGGACACGCCCCTACTAAACTATCAAGAGGGGGGCACGCCCATTCATGAGAGACAAGGAATTGAGGCCTTAGGTTATGTTGTTCCATGCTCTCTTCTTGGTAGGGTTTGGCCTTAAGCTTTCCCATACTTGGTCGATCCTTAGGTTATGTTGTTTCATGCTCTCTTGTTGGTAGGGTTTGGCCATAAGCTTTCCCATATTTGGTAGATCCGAGAAAGACCATTGATCCCATGCACCATTGGAGGAGACCCAGTGTGGGGCGTACTAAGCCTGGTTGAGATAATCCTCGGGATCTTTTACTTTGTGGTTTGCAGTATTTTCTTTCTTGTGCCTTTCTTATTTCCATAGCATTGTATTACTTTTTGTTTATTCAATAAAAGGAGGTGTAAGTAGTGGTAGCAAGAGCAATCCACTTTTATTTATTAATTTATTTCAAGTGAGTTTTATTGTATTTAGACCATTGTAAGTGTTCTAGTCGATGAGAAAAAGAAAAAATACACCCTATATACACCGCGCTAGATCACAGTGTCCAACTTTTAGTTTCTTATTTATATATTAAAACATATTCCCTGTGAATCTCAAAACACTAAAGAGTGTGCCATTAAAAGTTCTTGTTTTGCCGAAACAAAGGAAGTGAGAGAGGCATTTGTTTAGATCCTTTGGGTTTGGTAACTGCTAGCTGGGCGTGAGAAGGTTCGTTTTTAGGTGGAGCCACAGCAGGCGAAGCATTGTGGACATAACCTCAAGGAACAATTTTTTAATTTTTTATTATCTAGTACCGGTAGTTAGCTCATTTTTTCTCTTTTTGGTTTACAAATAGATAACTCAAACTAGGACTTATAGACGCATAGCTATTTTACAAGACTCTCTTAGACTCACACTCCGACTTCCAATGCCTTCAATTGATTTCTATCATCCTCTATATAAGCCTAATCTATCGGCACCAGTTACTTAGCTTGGAAGCAAAGCAAGTGTAATTGTTGCTTGGAGTAGAAAGAAAGCATAAAGTGGGCTTAGTACAACATCATCATTGCACCGACATTGCTTTTTGTAAAGTATTTTTCTGTTTTCATCGATGTCTATTTTCCTACAACATCTTCCCTTTAATCTTCCATCATGTTGTCTAGATGGGACAATCCCACGTCATCTAGGCTTTCATAAAAATCTTCTCCATCACCATCTCTTCATCAAGTTATTCTTCATCCTTTCATTTCTTGATTGGGAAGTTTTGTGGTTTCAGGACTTCCTTTTACTTGAGCTATTTCTATAGTATTAAGATATACTACTGAACTTTCGATATTATCTCATTCTTTTGGGATTAGATTAACTTATCCCTTGGGTATAATAATTGTTACTCTCTCTTGATGGTAAATTTTCTGGTCAATGTCAAAATCATCTTCTATTATTTTATAGATATTGGAAAATCCTTCTGCCTTAGCTTTTGAAATACTCTTTTCTCTATAGAATAGGCCTCGAGAATTTGGAAATGTGGGTATTCTTATTTCTCCATGGTTAATAATGAATAAATGATGAGTTGCGTTATACATTTCTTGATAAATTTCTAGCAATGTATTACTGCAGGTCACAAAGAGTGGCTTTGGTAATTTTTTAAGGAAACTTGATAGCATATTGGGGATTCCTTTTCTTCGATATTTGATATTAAAGCTAATAATTAACCTTGTCGTCATTAATAATTCATCGTCTTCTCTCCAAATAAGTCTTTTTCCTTGATAATACATTTCATTTTGAAAATGTCACCAGATTTTTACAAGGAATTCCTCTTGTGCCTTTTGCTTATTTCTTTAGAAATTTTAGCTGGAAGTTTAATAGGATTGGAGCTTTCTTGAGTAAAGAATTGGACAACATATATATGTGTGTATGTATGTGTATTAGCTTGCCCACCCAAAAGAAAGATTATCTATCGTTCATGAAACTCAACTGAAAGGAGTGAACTAAAGCAAATAGAGGTAGATGTTTAGGCCATCTCTAACCCAAAAACTAAACCACCAAAAGTAAACAAGCAAGAGGGTCATTAATCAAGGGTAACTTCTAACGTTACAATGATTAAAACATTAAAATACACAAAAATCTTGGGACATATTATAACCTAACAACTTCACATTTTTCAACAAAATACCAACTGCATGCAACATATGCTGCATTAGAAATGAAAAAGTAGAAACTTCGAAGTCCATGGGCCTCTATTCCAAGTTATGCTCTAAGCCATGGGTTGTAAATTTGGAAATTTGTTATATATACAAGTCAACCAACCTGGAAAACATATATAACTTATCCAATTAAAGGTGAAATTTCTGATGAGATACCATTGAAGATAGGAAGAGAAAGAGAGATTTGACAATGACACAGAGATACAATTGATGTAAAGGGACTAAAGGAGTTTACCTGGTACACCAACGGCTGATGCATGATATTTTCGAAACTCCTCATTTCCCTTTGCTGTTCGGCAGGCAATGGCCCCTCCAAAGTTAGAACCACGGGGATAGCCACCAATGAAAGCCTCAGGAAAAACAACCAGCTGTGCCCCATAAGTAGCAGCATCTGCAATCAATCTCTCAGCTTTATCTACAAAAGTCAAAAGAAAACCAAATCATTTCATTTGGCAGTTAAGAAAAAGATAAAGCAGACAAACAAAATGCAAAGGTGCATAGCTTAGGGTATATGAGTCAATGATCAAAAAAATTTGAACCTTAATCACAAATTCGTGTAGCCCACAAACTGTGGAATTTAGACCCATAAAAATTGTAAAATATAAAAAATAAAAAATAAAATTAAAATGAGTCAAAAAATGGAAGACCATATTCAAAATTTCACAGAGAAGACACCCAAATGAAGTGCCCATTACCCTTCCAAACCTAACAACCAACAAATGTGATAAATAATCAATATGCTAACCAGTAAAAAGGGAAATGGGGAAGGCCTGTAGTAGGATAGACTTGAAAAACAAAACAAAAGATAACTGAAGAAACACAAGATAGTGCAAAGCAATATGCAAATGAAAAATCACATTCTCAACCACGCTGAAGCTAGCATCATCCCCAATTGAAAAATAAATAAATAAATAAAATTATGCTTAGAAAACTAAAATCAGAACACAGTAAGTGAAGCTACAACTATCCAAAATAAGTTAATGCAATAATAAAAGAACGTATAGCACACAAATCAAAGAAACAGAATAAGGAATAATGGGAATATGTACCAAGTGTAGCAGGAGTGTCATAGAAGACAGTGGAAGCTTGGACGACAGTGGCACGCACTGACTGAGTATCAGAACCCATATCCATC